TCCCAGCTGTCCCATCCCATAAGGACCCCAAATATCCCACCCCATAGGGTCCCAGCTGTCCCACCTTTGGGGTCCCAGCTGTCTCATACCATGGGGACCCCAAATGTCCCACCCCGTAAGGACCCTTAATATCCCACTCCATAAGGACCCTAAATGTCCCACCCCATGGAGTCCCAGCTGTCCCACTTTTGGGATCCCAGCTGTCCCACCCCATGGGGACCCCAAATGTCCCATCCCATGGGGACCCCAAATATCCCACTTATGGGGTCCCACCTGTCCTACTTTTGGGATCCCAAATGTCCCACCCCATAAGGACCCCAAGTGTCCCACCCCATAGGGTCCCAGCTGTCTCTCCTTTGGGGTCCCAGCTGTTTCATACCCCATAAAGACCCCAAATGTCCCACCCCATAAGGATCCCAAATGTTTCATCCCAAGGGCACCCCAAATATCCCACCCCATACAGACCCCAAATGTCCCACCCCATAGGGTCCCAGCTGTCCCACCCCATGAGAACCCCAAATATCCCATCCCATAAGGACCCAAATATCCCATCCCATGGGGACCCTAAATGTCCCATCCCATACAGACCCCAAATGTCCCACCCCACGGGGTCCCAGCTGTCCCACTTTTGGGGTTCCAGCTGTCCCATTTCATAAGAACCCCAAACGTCCCACCCCATAAGGACCCCAAATGTCCCATCCCATAAGGTCCTGAAACATTCCACCCCATCCCATAATGTCCCCAAATGTCCCATAAGGACAGAAATGTCCCATCCCATAAGGACCCCAAATGTCCCATTCCATGGGGACCCTAAATGTCCCACCCCATAGGGACCCCAAATGTCCCACCCCATGGGGTCCCAGCTGTCCCACTTTTGGGGTCCCATCTGTCCCATCCCATAGGGACCCCAAACGTCCCACCCCATAAGGACCCCAAATGTCCCATCCCATAAGGTCCCAAAACATTCCATCCTATCCCATAATGTCCGTAAATGTCCCATAAGGGCAGAAATGTTCCATCCCATAGGAACCCAAAGGTCCCACCCCATAAGGACCCCAAATGTCCCATCCCATAAGGTCCCAAAACATTCCACCCCATCCCATAATGTCCCCAAATGTCCCATAAGGACAGAAATGTTCCATCCCATAGGAACCCAAATATCCCACCCCATAAGAACCCTAAATACCCCACCCCTTAGGGACCTAAATGTCCCATCCCATAGAAACTCCAAATGTCCCACCCCATAAGGACCCCAAATGTCTGATCCCATGGGGACCCTAAATGTCCCATCCCATAGGGACCCCAAATGTCCCTTGCCATAGGAATCCTAAATGTCCCATTCCATGAGGTCCCAGCTGTCCCACTTTTGGGATGCCACCTGTCCCATCTCATAGAGACCCCAAATGTCCCCCCCCATAAGGACCCCAAATGTCCCACCCCATAAGGACCCTAAATATCCCACCCCACAGGGACTCAAAATGTCTCATCCCATGAGGACCCCAAATGTCCCACTTTTGGGGTCCAACCTGTTCCATCCCATAGGGACCCCAAATGTCCCACCCCATAAGGACCCCAAATATCCCACCCCTTAGGGACCTAAATGTCCCACCCCATAGGGTCCCAGCTGTCCCACCCCATAAGGACCCCAAATGTCCCCACCCTATATGGACCCCAAACATTCCACCCCATCCCATAATGTCCCCAAATGTCCCATAAGGACAGAAATGTTCCATCCCATAGGAACCCAAAGGTCCCACCCCATAGTGTCCCAGCTGTCCCAATTTTTGGGGTCCCACCTGTCCCATCTCATAGGGACCCCAAATGTCCCACCCCATAAGGACCCCGAATACCCCACCCCTTAGGGACCTAAATGTCCCACCCCATAAGGACCCCAAATGTCCCATCCCATAAGAACCCCAAATGTCCCACCCCATAAGTTCCCGAAAGATCCCACCCCATCCCATAATGTCCCCAAATGTCCCATAAGGACAGAAATGTTCCATCCCATAGGAACCCAAAGGTCCCACCCCTTAAGGACCCCTTAGGGACCCCAAATGTCTCACCCCATAGGGACCCTAAATGTCCCATTCCATGGGGTCCCAGCTGTCCCACTTTTGGGGTCCCATCTGTCCCATCCCATAGGGATCCCAAATGTCCCACCCCATAAGGACCCCAAACATCCCACCCCTTACGGACCTAAATGTCCCATCCCATAGAGACTCCAATGATGTCCCACCCCATAAGGACCCCAAATGTCCCATCCCATAAGGTCCCAAAACATTCCATCCTATCCCATAATGTCCGTAAATGTCCCATAAGGACAGAAATGTTCCATCCCATAGGAACCCAAAGGTCCCACCCCTTAAGGACCCTAAATGTCCCATCCCATAAGGACCCTAAATGTCCCATCCCATGGGGACTCCGCTGTCCCACTTTTGGGGTCACACCAGTCCCACCCCATAAGGACCCTAAATACCCCACCCCATAAGTTCCCGTAACATCCCACGCCACCCCATAACGTCCCCAAACGTCCCATAACGACAGAAACGTCGCACCCCACAGGAACCCAAATATCCCACCCCATAAAGACCCCAAACG